CAACTGTCCAACAAAAACTTAGTAACATGGTTGTCAGTCCTATACACTTAAACATACATGCAGTTATCCATATCTTTTTTTTATTTAAAGAGAAAGACAAAACTAAATGAAGCAAGACAGTAAAAGGCTAGACGTAATACAGAATTTCAAGAGAAAAAATATACAGTAAGAGTTCACCAGTTAATAGATCACACATTGTCATCTTACAAATAACTGTCCAGATTACATAATTAAAGCATACAAAGTGGAGATTAACACAGTGAGACTGCAGTCAGTTCTGTTCAATGATCCAAGAAAAACTCAGCAATATGGTTCTCTATCCTACACATTTAAATAAACTTGCAGTTATATCCTTTAGATCACTTTTCTTCCTCTTTTTTATGCTAACAATCACACCTTTTAGTTTCCATTACTTCCACAGTTTTTTTAACTTTTTCTTTGAAGGGGAAAAGAAAAAAGATTGAAAAAAAGGCCAAAAAACAAAAAACAAAACAAGACAGACCAAAGAAAAACCCAATGTGACAAAGCAAAACAGAGTCAGTTAGATCAGAGGGATGGACATAGCATAAAATGAAAAAAAAAGGGGGGGATTACTAGGTGATCAACAATGGTTACCATTATGCCTCTTGTTATCCTAAAAAGAGTAGCCTATATCAGCTAGTATAAAAGAATTGAACAAAACTGTACATAAGACCAATAAAACTACATTGGAGAGCTTGCAGGATTCCAAAGAAGATAATAGTCAAATAATAATGGGCATCATAGAATATCTGATTGCCTTCCAAATGGTTGCCTATACCCTCAAACTTGATACTATTAAGCAAAACAGAATATAATAAAATCAATCAGAACAAGCGGTGGAGAACACTACAGGGGTTCACATCAGGTTAATAGGGACATGAGTGTGACTTCTCAGCTCCAGTATAGAACCCTCATCCCACCAGCACAGCTCCTTCACCCTGCTGGCATGGACTTGCTGGTTTCCACTGCTAACCTTTGGGCCTTCCCGGCACAGATCCGTAAAAGAGACTGGCGTGAGTCATTCTTGCAGGCTCTAGACTTCCGGCTGGACTCATGGGAGGCATTGTCATGAGCTCTGAGTTTTTATGTGGACCCATGTGGGACATTGCTGTGGGATTTAGGCTCTTGACTAAATAACCTATGTCTTTGGTCTGCATTTTCTTGTGTTAACTGCCAGTGACCATTATAAAAATAATGTTATAAACTCCATGTCCTGATTCTAATTGTTCTCTCTGCACAGCCCTTGACTACAACAACTGCATTCTGAAACTAAGCTACTGCCTGAACTGGAGAACCTGGGAGATTATAAGTGATATCCAAGTTAGGAAGAATAAGAAGTTAAGTCAATTTGTCCTACTAACTGAAAAGTGATTAATGTTTGAGAGATGCAGACATTCCTGAAATGCTATTTGGGTTTCAATAAAGGAACACAAAGTTATCTCAGGTCAACTCAGCTCAGTTTTCATGATGGACATGTACTCACACTTTGCATCCATCAAATAAGCCTGTTGATCCAGCTGTCTTGATATCTTTTAAATGAGGAGAGAATTGAGTCACAGAAAGAAATATCTTTGAGACTTTGTAAAAGTTTTTCACAAATTTATTCCAATTTGTCATTCAGTGTTTATTATATATTTGTATCTTTAGTGTCCTTCTTGCTTGTAAAATATCAATATTATGAAGATGGTAAGTAATCTCAGCATTGCTTATCTCACCAACTTAATGAACATATCCACAGAGGAAACTATGTGGGAAGAGAGTGCTTTCTTTGTAGAGATTCTATGGATATGCAAAAGTACACTTCAATCTGAGTTCATTTGTATTTCACTAACTCTACCAAGGCTACTACCAATGTAAAATTGTATGTGACACCAGCTGACAACTGTTACCAAATCTACAACTGGCAGCCTGACACTTGTCCTTGAATCATTGTATGTGTGGACAAATAAATGTGTTCATTTATATATACAGAGAGTCCACTGTATATTCCATCAGATGTCTCCTGAATAAATACTGTCACATGCCAAGATGAGCTGTTCAACAAGCTCCCCTGCACAGATGTGGTTGAAATTGTGAACAAATATTTTACCTATGGCATGTCCACCTACACAGAATAGTGTTCAGAAGCCACAGAAAAATCACAAGTGGGAAGTGTTGATGAATGATAATGGCTAATTTTTGGGCTTACTGACAAGACTCACTGAGTGTTTTCTTACTTTCTAAAGACTATGAACATAAAGGAAGTCAATGGTAAGGTGTGCATGACTGTCCACTGCTAAATCTGATAAACACTTAACTCTGTTAGCTAAGTTGATGAGCACCTATAAATTCTGGCAGAGTGTGATTCCAGAGAATGAAGCAAAAAAGTATATAATCACAGACCAATTTTCTCCTATTTCTCTAAGGAATAGTGACATATCAGTGGGTAATACGTGGTTTATATTATTGGCAATGTTGTGCTCTGTTGAGTGAAGTAAAAACAGAAACAAGCAATGGTGAAATTAAGTGGAAAGGACAACAAAAGTAGTGTGGAGGAGAAATATAATTTGCCCAGAGGAAAAAAAATAGCTTTATTCAATAGAAGAAAATGGTGATAAAAAACTACTAGAAGTGGATTTTGCCCAAAGTTAAAGATAGCTAGGAGTCTAGAATTGGACTCAGAAGATTTTAAGATGAGGAAATTCCTTGGATAAAGATCTATAGATAAAACTTGTTTAGAATGATTAAAGGTGCATATTGCAAAATGTGGAGAGCAGTGGAGATAAGGGTAGGTTGGAAAATATTTACTTTCCACAAGTTCATTGGAGATTCCCATGAGAGTGAACATTCTGTACTTTGTTTATATGATGGTATTATACATAAGCTAAAGTCAAAGAAATTCAGAACGAGGTGTGATTGTTTCATTGTCAATTGCCAAGCTGAAATGGGAACTGGACTCCTTTAAAGCTGGTGATGAAAGAGGAACTCTCCTGCACTGTTGGTGGGAGTGTAGACTAGTGCAACCATTGTGGAGGTCAGTCTGGAGATTTCTTAGAAAGCTGGAACTGGAAGCCCCATTTGACCCAGCTATTCCACTTCTAGGCATATTCCCAGAAGAGCTGAAAGCATCATCCCACAGTGATATATGTGCACCCATGTTTATAGCAGCACAATTTGTAATAGCCAGATCTTGGAAACAACCTAAGCATCCATCAACTGAGGAATGGATAAAAAAGTTGTGGTATTTTTATACAATGGAGTACTACTCAGCTATAAAGAATGATCACATTGAGACATTTATAAATAAATGGATGCAGGTTGAGACCATACTCATAAGTGAAATAAATCAAACTCACATGTATAAATACCAAATAGTTTCCTAGAGTAAGTAATGATAAGAATACATAAAAGTACATGGTAATCATGATTCCCAATCACACTGGTTTGAAGCCATATAATATTTTTACTCATTAATTGGAATGGTTTTAATCTGGGTTGTTTTATATTATTGTCTGTGATACTATGAATAGCTATTTTGAAGAAAATAAGACAGTGTGATAGCTGGTGCTGATTTAATACATCCTGTTTTGAAGCCCCATCAAGTTGTTATTCATCTGTTTCCATTAGTTTTAGCATGTTGTATCTTCTCATATTTTAATGTATGCAATAGTATAAGCAAAATTTTTTATAGGCAAAGAGATAACATAGAAACTGTTATGTTACATAGAAACATAGAAATGTTCGGTTTCTGTTAGCTGGTTCTAAATACCCTGCCATACTTTCATTCTCTTAAATGGTTTCACATTGTCTTGATAAGTTTGATTATAGTATACGAAGTTAGACTCAAATATTTCAAGGAAAGAAACATTATGGTAACTACTATTAATGTCAGGCTATCTGGTGGTGAAACACAATGATGCTTAAATTGTTTGGTTCTGACCTGTGTTGTTCTATTGATATGCTCTTTTTTATCTCAATCTCCCCCCACCCCTTTTTTTCTTTTTTTAAAAAATTAATTTATTTCTTAGGATCTTTTAATTAAGGGAAAACTAAATTTAAAATAGTGGAATATATTATAGTAACTCTTTTGTTTTCCTATTAACCTGACTTGAACCCTTGTATTGTTCTCCACATCTTGTTCTGATTGATTTTATTATATTCTGTTTTGTTTAATAGTATCAAATTTGAGGGTATAAGCAACCATTTTGAAGGAAACCAGTTATTCTATGATGCCCATTATGGTTTGACTATTATCTTCTTCGGAAGTCCTGTAAGGTCTCCAATGTGGGTTTTATTGGTCTTGTTCTGTACTGTTTTGTTCAATTCTTTTATACCAGCTGATATAGGCACCTCTTTTTAGGATAACAAAAGGCATAATGGTAACCATTGTTCATCACCTAGTGATCTCTTTTTGCATTATATACTATGTCCATCCTCCTGTTCTGACTGACTCTGTTTTGCTTTGTCACATTGGGGTTATTTGTTCTGTTTTGTTTTGTCTTGTTTCTTGTTTTATGTTTTTTTTTCTTTTCCTCTTCAAAGAAAAAGTTATAAGAATTGTGGGAGTAATGGAACCCAAAATGTGTTGTTGTTAGCATAAAAAATGGAGGAAAGAAAGTGATCTAAAGGATATAACTGCAAGTGTATTTAAGTGTGTAGGATAGAAAATCATATTACTGAGTTTTTGTTGGATCGTTGAACAGAACTGTCTGCAATCTCACTGTATTAATGTCCACTTTGTATGCTTTAACTTTGTAACTTGCACAACTGTTTCTGAGATGACAATATGTAATCTATTGACTTACTGAAATCTTACTGTACATTTTTTCTCTTGAAATTCTGTATTACTTGTAGCCTTTTACTGTCTTGCTTTGTTTTGTTTTGTTTTTCTCTTTAAATAAAAAAAATGCTGGTGTTGCCCAAGAGGACATTTTACTGGCTGGAGGTCTTGTCCCACCTACTTTCTCAGAACATTTACATTCCACATTTTCTCATTGCTTTTCAAATAGTAGAGGTCTGCTGGGTCTCCTGGAAAATTTAAAGGCAAATTTGGAGTAAAATTGACAATGGACTTGATCTGGAACTTTTCCATGGAAACCTGGGTTTTTCTGGTTCTCTGTCTCCTGCTTCTCTATGTGTGAGTAAATGTCTATGCTCCTTTTCTCTCTTCTCCTATTTCCCAATGCTGACATTTTGAACATCCTCCTCTCATTTCTGTATTTCTGTGTCTACAATGGGATGGATAAGAATGTTCCTAGTGTAACATTATTGACTCTCATTTGAATCTAGAATAATGAATCATAAGTTTACAGGCTACTGACACCATGTGAAGCAGTAATTTCACTTCTATTCAAAGCTTAAAATTCTAGAACACATGGTTTATGATGTACCTGTCCCAGAAACTTTGCCTTGCTTATTCTGTCTTTTGGAAGAGAAGAGTGGAAGTCTTGTACCCCATGGCTTTGGGTGTTTCCTTTCCGTTCTGTCCTTAATCCACAGAATCCTGTACACAGTGCTGATTCTTGTGCAACCCAGATTTCACAGGCAGTTCTGAACATACCTTTCCCTCTTTTAGAGTTTGCTTTGACAACACATACACTTTTTGCCCTTATCTATGACCCTCCTTTGGGACTCTCCTTCCTACATCTCAATGGCTCCAAATAGAAGTAACCACGACTACTTAATTTTAAATGAAATGTTTCTAGACTGAAGCACTAAATCTCTATACAAACCTTGGAGAAATTCAAAAGCCCATTTGTTTCTTCCAGAAGTACACTTTGAGTATCCTTCACACAACTGGTCTTTCATGCAGTATTTTGGCTCCATTCTATGACATTTTATGAGATTTATGAGACATGCAAAGAATATTTTACAACTATATTGCTTCATACCATCCCTCTCCAGGAGGAAAAATGTGCATTTTTTAAAAATCATTTTTAAAAAATCACTCATAAGCACCTGCCTTGCAAGCAGGTAGTCGTGAGTTCAATCCCCGGTACTGATAAAAATGAAAAAGACAAAAAAAAAATCACTCAATTATAAAATGGTCACTTATTTTATGTTGCATAATATGATCATTGCTATTAATAAGAAGGTTCATAAACTCTAGAAGGTCCTATCTCCTGTACTGGTAAACACTATGGCATATTAAAAAATTTTATACATAGCATAATTTTATCCACATTTTTTCTTTTCTGCTATGGGGTAATTTGTAAGCCTAGAAATTCTGTGGTAATGTGATGGCCTGTAGCCTCTTTCTTAGTCTCTCTTGTTTGTACTGTCTGTCTTCTGTCACTCATACTGGAAAGGAATGCTTTGCAAGATCCAAAAATTCTGTCAGTGAGTATCTAGACATGGCATATCAGAATGTATTGCCCTGGAATGTACCTGACTATTGGATTCTGTACAGATACAATGGAATTAAAGCATCAATATGCTAATAATGATGTTATGATTCAGCTTTATAAACAGTAAGACTTCTTGTCGCTAAACTAATGAGTTGCATCAGCTTGTTGCCCACATCCACTGAGGAGAGGAACAGTCTCCATATGTATCCGTTAGTTATTCATTCTCCCACATAGTTTCTTGAAGGTAACATAACCTTCTTTATATCTAAAATCAATAAGATTGCTCGCAATAGATACTTTGGTGTCTCTCAATCATTTATACTACTTTGAGACCAGTGGAGGCTTGAACTCTTCTGTCACTCTGTAGCAAGAAAAGCATTATGGCTATTACCAGGTTTTTCTGGGAAGACAGGTTTAAAAAAGACCAGATACTAAAGGAAAAGCATGGCCCATGGAAAAATTAAAACATCTAAATAAATTGTGAATACAATGTCATTACAGAATCTCCATCACCATGTGTCTCTGATTAGATAGATTTACATGAGATTTTGGTATGAAGGAGAAATAATTGACTTTTCCTTAGAATGCATGTATACATCTTCCTCATGGAAATGCAGTTTTCCTAATTAATATCAGCAAAATAAATATCCTGGAAAAATTCCAGTGTTACCCTTATGGGGGCACTCAAATTTGTGTGAATTTATCAGTATTAACTGTAGGCTTGAGGGCATACAACCGATTGATTTAACTAATTTTTGTCAGTTTTACAAGGTCTCTGTGGAGGTGTCACAGGAGATAGTAGGTGAATGTACTATTTTTACTTGCAGGTTTACAGTTATTTATCATACGTGTAATACCTTTTGCCTTGACAAAGTTCCTAAATCAGTGACAGGTATACTATTATGTATGTAAAGTTTCCAACATGTTGACCTGGATTTCTATTTAATTTTTTTAGATATGGGACCTACACATATGGACATTTTAAGAAGCTGGGAATTCCTGGTCCAAAACCTCTGCCTTTTTTAGGGAATGTATTGTCCTATGCCCAGGTGAGTTGCATTTGTGGATTTTTGTTTTCTTCTGACTGACAACAGTGGCCTAGTTCTATTTATAAAATTGGTCTTTTGGGGGCTGGGGATTTAGCTCAGTGGCATAAGCACCTGCCTTGCAAGTAGGCAGTCGTGAGTTCAATCCCCAGTGCCAATAAAAATGAAAAAGACAAAAAAAATTGGTCTTTCAAAGAAAATTCTGAAGTTTCTGACTTCCAGAAACTCTATGGATAATGCTGCAAGTAGAGCTAAGTTTTCCCTGAGTCTGTATTCAACACTGTGGAGTCTGGGGTTTGCCTCAATAACAACAAAAATCTCTGGCAGATCAACAATGGATGGTCAGGACATAGAATTCAGATGATGTGAGCATTGAAGGGGTACTTTTATCTTTGCCTGATACATATTTTTTGAAATATCTGTTGTAACATGAGCATTAGAGAACTGCTCACAAAGGGTACCTTGTAGTAGATCATGTACGTATACATCACATATTCAAATTTTCCTGCTCACACCAGAGTTCATGAGTAGCATTTCCTTTTCTTTTTACTGAATAATTTAAATTCACATGGGTGCCTTACCAGAAGAAATATTGGATTTTACAGCACAGAAGTGCAAACTGAGAACTAGTATTTAATTTGCTATGTCTATAAGTAGATGTGGCATTTGCCCCATCATCCTATGTTGAGCTGAAGCACTGACTCATTTTCTCAACTGATAACATGCTTAAGGAACATAAAAATGGCTAGAATAAATGAGTTCTCAATTCAGTGCTTCCTAATTCCACCAATATTCTAGAGAAAGGAGATGAGACCTATAAAAATAGTAAATAAAGAGTGAAAAGACTGCACATCTAAGGAAAACTCATTCACTGTGCCCATGGAGAGGATGATGAAGAGCTCAATAATTATATTTTTAATATTTGAGATCGTTTAGAAACACTAAATCTACTGGAGGACAAGGTAGATAGAAATTTTGCAGACATAGCAGTAGACAGAGACATCATGAACAAAATAAAAATCACATGAGAAAAATACAAGGAATAAACACCTTGGACCTCATATTACTAAAAAGTTTTTTCGCTTGAAAAACCACAAACAATGTGAAAACAAAACTCACAGAATAGGAAAGAATTTTAGCCAACAATCACTCAGACAAAGGGCTTATCTGCCGAACATATAAAGAACTGAAAAACAGCAGTACTCCCAAATTCAAAGATCCTCTCCAAACATGGGCATTGGAGATGAACACACATTTCTCAGATGGAGATATACAAATGGCAAATAAGTATGTGAAGAAATGCTCACCATCACTGGTCATTTGAGAAGTACAAATTAAAACAACTCTAAGATAGCATCTCACTCTGGAAAGAATGATTGCCATCAAGAAATTAACTGATGGCAAATGTTGATGAAACTATGAGGAAAAAGGAACACTTCTCCACTGTTGGTGGGAGTGTAGCCTGGTACTACCATTGTCAAAATCAGTATGGAGATTTCTTAACAAACTAGGATTGGCAGTTCCATTCAATCCAGTTATTCACCTCCTGAGTGTTTTCCCAGAAAATCTGAATATTACATCACAGTGATACATGTGCACTCATGTTTGCAGCAGCAAATGTTGAAACAACCAGAATGTCCATTAATCAGAGACTGGATGAAAAAGATGTGGGTTTTTTTGCAATGGAATATGACTCAGCTATTAAAAAGATGATCTCGAGACTTTTATAGGTAAATGGAGGCAAATTAAGACTATCCTCATAGGCTCCCTGGAACATGGCAGACAGATAGCAGCAGCTATGCAGGCTCTCTGCAAGACCCAGCTTAGAATCCAGGAATGGTGTGGAGTGAGGAATCCTAACCAAGAGGAGATATACCCTGCTGACCCAAGAACAAACTGGGCTGAGAGATACCAACTGGGAATGCAATCCTGCTGCTATAACAGGAACAGATAAAGCCTGAGCATGGAAGCTGGAGCCCCCACCATTGGAAGCCATGATTTGGGTTTCCTGCCGCCACAGCTGCATCTGAATCAGCTCGGCAGGGAGAAAGAAGTGAAAGCTCTGAGAACAGGAATCGGTGAACGGAGTTGAGAGTGGAATGGGTGGGGAGCCATACATCGACCTTCAGTGAGCGAGGGAAACTGGGACTCTTCCACAGTCTAGGAGGCTCCAACAGAGGACATTCTGGGACCAGGAAGACTTGCCGGAATAGGGCGCTGTAGTGACTTCAGTTACATATCCCCCTCTCAAGCAGGATTGGTGAGCAGTGCCTACCCTACATGATGCTGCTGGCTGAGACCCAGTAGGCTAGCACAACACAGGTCTCCGCGCCTAGAGGTGCACCCTAGTGGTGAAACCTTAGGTAGGTTTACCTGGAGGGGGGGGCCTCGAATAGGCTGCCTGGTCAGTAACTCCCTGGTGCGTTGCAGTGGGCGGGAACACTTAGCTGGTGCAATTCAGTCAGACTGTGGCCAACAGGGAAGGAAGCTGGGCCTCTTATATATGCTTGCATATATAAGGAACATGGGAGAGGATAGAGAATAAGAATATGGGAAGAGGGAGCAACAAGAAAGGCTCCTCAGCCCCCATCCTGAGAAACAGGCAATAGCAGACACGCCACCAATAAACATAAAAGGCTATCTCCAGTGCCTCATAGACGAGTTCAGGAATGAAGTTATTAATGACCTGAAGCAAGACATAAACAAAATAGTTAGAGAACTGCTAAGAACCACCCAAGAAAAAGCAGATGGTGAAATGGAAGAACAGAAAAAGAGGGGAGAATTGTTTGATGGAGAAAATAGAGAAAACATAGAATACATGAAGCAGGTTCAAAGAGATTACCAGGAAACTAAAAGCTCTATCGAAAACTGGCATAACAGCTTGAAAGAAACTAAGGATAGATTATCTGAACTGGAGGACAGATTTGTAATGTGGGAGCATAAAATGAAAAACTTCTTAAAATAACAAAGAAACAAACAGCAACAATACAAAGACTAGAAGATGATAAGAAGATCTCTAACTTAAGAACATAAAAGAAGAGGTAGGGACACAAACAAATGAACTACAAAAGCTACTCGCAGAAATAATCCAGGAGAATTTTCCTAATTTAGCAAAGGGTAAAAATACTCAGATGTATGAAGCATACAGGACACCAGCCAGCTACAACCCAAACAGAGCTATACCCAGAGATATAATAATTAAAATACCAAAAATCCAATATAAGAACAAAATATTAGAAGCCGTCAGAGACAAGAAACAGAACACTTACAAGGGAACATCCATCAGAATTACAGCAGACTTCTTGGCACAAACCATCAAATAACAAAGATTGTGGGGGAAAATAATTCAAGCTTTGAAATATAATAACCTCCAGCCAAGATTGAGATATCCTGCACAACTATCCCTGGAAATTGATGGAAAAACAAGGTACTTTCAGGAAAAAGAAGAACTAGGGGAATATGCAACCACCAATTCAACTCTACAGAGAATACTGCAGGATATTCTAAAAAAGAAAAATATGAAGAATCCAGAAATGTGGCTAAGAGGCCACAATGAATGGAGCAGAAAACAAAATGAAGAAGACAAACTGACAACTAATGACAGAAACAGAGCTCAAGAGAAATGAGGCAGAGAAGATTAGATGATAGGAACAGCTGTCTTGGAGAAAATGATGTCATAATAGGCAGTGCTGATTTGGTATCATCTTATTTTGAAGTTCTATCAAGCTTTTGTTCTTCTGTCTCCATAGGTCTTAACATGTGTATCTTATTGGATTTTATTATATGTGATAGTATAAACAAAAACTTTTATAGACAAGGAGATTATACAGAAACCATAGTTCATTATCTGTTAGTTGATTCTAAATACCCTGTAATACTGTCATTCTCTCGAATGGTTTCGCATTGTTTTGATATGTTTGATGCTAGAGTATATGAAGTTATACTCAAAGATTTCAAGGAAAGAGACAATATGGTAACTACTTTTATGTTGGGATTATCTTGTGGTGAAACACTAATTTGCTTAAATGGTTATGTTTTGATCTGCACTGTTTAGTTGTTATGCCCTCTTTTATCTCAATTTCCATTTTATTATATCCTTTTTTATTTTTATCCTTTTAATTAAGGGAAAAATAAATAAGAAATAGCAGGATATGTTATAGTAACCCACTTTGATTTTCTATTAACTTGATTTGAAGCCCTGTATTGCTCTCGCCATCTTGTTTTTACTGATGTTCCTCTATTCTGCTTTGCTTGATAGTACCAGGTTTGAAAGTTTAGGCAACAACTGTGAAGATAGTGGGATTCATTATGACGCCCATACTGGTTGACTATTATCTACTTTTGAAGACCTGTAATGTTTCCAATGTTTTGGTTTTGTTGGTTTCGTTCTTTACTGTTTTGTTCAATTTTATTATAACTGATGATATAGGCAATTCTATTTGAGATAGCGGGAGGCATTATGGTAACCATTGTTCATCACCTTGTATTATGTTTTTACATTATCTATTATGTTCACCCTTCTGATTTAACCAATTCTGTTCTGTTAAGTCACATTTGGTTTTACTCTCTTCCAAAAAAAGTAATAAGAACTGTGGGAGCAATAAAACCCAAAATGTGTAATAGTGATTGGACAAAAGAGAGGAAAAGTGCTCTAAGTGGTATAACTGCATGTAATTTTAAGTGTATAAGATAGACAATATCACTGAGTTTTGTTGGATCATTGAACAGAACTCTTTGCAGTCTCACTGTTTGAATGTCCACTTTATATGCTTTAATTTTGTAACTTGAACAAATATTTCTAAGATGACAATATGTAATCCATTAACTAGTGATTTCCTACTGTTTATTTTTTTCTGAAATTCTGTATAACTTGTACCCTTTTTCTGATGTTTTTCCTTTTTCTCCTTAAATAAAAAAGAGACTATCCTCATAAGTGAAATAAGTCATACTCATATTTGTAAATCTTGTATTGTCTTTCTAGTGTAAAAATTAATAATAGTAATAATTATAATAAACTGAAAGACTAATAAGATCAAAAATATATAATAGATATTATAATAATGTATGGGGGAAAAAGTGCTAAAAAGGAAAGGACTATTTGTAGATATATATATATATAACAGTATGTATGTCTAAGTGTGAAAGATAGAGAACCATATTACTAAGTTTTTGGTAGTTCATCAAACAGAATAGTTTGTGCTATCATTGTTTTCATTGTTCATTATTTATGCTTTCATTTTGTAACTTAAACAACTACTTCTAAGATAACAATATGTGGTATATCAACTAGAGATGATTTCTTAATGTTATTTTTTGAAATTCTATTTCATTTCTACCCTTTTGTTTTGTTTTACATTTTTTAGATAAAAAATTTTTCCCATTTTCTGGATTTTCTTTTCACTCTGTTAGTAATTTTTTGGAAATGCAAAAATTGTTTAATAAGATGATATCCTAGCCATAAATTCTTTGAATGACTTTCCATATATTTTATGTTTTGTTCATGAACCCTCTGCCTACATCTATGTCATCAGGATTTCTATCTACTTTGTTTTCCAGCAGTTTAAAATGTTTCTGGTTTAATATTTGAATCCTAATCCATTTTGACTTTAGTTTAGTGCAAGGTGATAGTCATGTGTCTAGTTTTAGTCTTTGACATGTAGAAAGCCAGTTTTTCCAAGCACCATGTATTGAAGAGGCTTTCTTCCAGTGACTATGTTTGGTACTTTTGTCAAAGACAAGGTGGCTGCATGTGTGTATAGTTGTGTCTGCATCCTCCAGTCTCTTCCACTGTTTCTAAGTTCTGTTGTGTTGTTTTGTTTTTACCATTACCATGCTTATCTCATCACAGTAGCTTTTTAGTATAATGTCAAGTCAGAGGTTATAATGCCTCCAGCCTTGGCTTTGTTGCCCAGAAATGCATTTGCTTTTTTGTTCTCTTCTGTTTCCACATGAATTTTAGGAATGTTTTCTCTAGATCTGTGAGGTGTATTCATGGTATTTTGAGCAGAATTACATTAAATCTGTATAACATTTTTGGGAGTATGATCAGTTTCATTATGTTGGTTCTTCCTATCTAAAAGCAAGGGATAGCTTTCCATTTTCTGAGATCTTTTCTGATCTCTTTTTTCAGAGTACTGTAATTTTCAGTATATTAGATCTTTTACTTCCTTTATTCAAACAAATCCTTGACATTTTTTTCTTTTGATGCTATTGTTAAAGGTATTATTGCCATAATTTCTGCCTGGTGAGTTTGTTATATATGTATGGGAATGCTACTGATTTTCGAGTGCTAACTTTGTATACAGCTACCCTGCTGAATTTGATTATTAAACCTAACAATGTTTAGAGATGGTTTTGGGAGTCTTTATGTAGAATATCACATTATCTGTAAATAATAATAATTTAACTTCTTCCTTTCCTATTCTTTTATATCTCTAACATCTAATTGCTTTGGCCAGTGTTTTCATAACTGTATTGAACCAAAGTGTTGATAGTGACCATCCTTATCTTGTTCCTGATTTTAGATCAAAAGCTTTCTATTTTAGTAAATTTGGTATAATGTTGGTTCAGAGATGGCATTTGTCAGATTGAGGTAAAGATCATGTAGTCTGATTTTATGTATGGTTTTTATCATGCATGGGTGTTGGACTTAATCAAAAACTGTTTCTGCATCTACTGAGATGATCTTAGGGTTTTTCTCATTGGCTCTGTTGACATGATGTATTACATTTATTGATTTGTATATGTTGAATCATTCTTGCATTTCTAGGATTAATCTCACCTGTTCATGGTGTATAATCTTGTTGATGATTTCTTGCATTCCATTTGCCTCGTATTTTATTGAGGACTTTTGCATGTGTATAATGAAATATTACTCAGCTATTAAAAAGCATATTGAAGCCTTTATAGAAAAATGCAGGCAGGTGGAAACTATCCTCACAAGTGAAATAAACAAGATTCACATTAGTAAATCTCAAAATGTCTCACTAGTGTAAACAACAGTAAAAACTGAAAAAGTAATAAGACCCAAAATGTATAATAGATATTGTAAATATGAAAGAGAAGGAGAGGTCTCTATGGTTTGCACTGTCAATGTTTGAGTGTCTATCCATGTTTTATGCTTTGATTTTGTAAGTTGAACAACCATTTCTAAGATAACAGTGTGTAATGTACCAATTAGTGATTCAAAATAATTTGAGATTTTTGAGACAGGGTCTCACTGTACAATTCAGGCTAACCTCACACTCACAGCAGTTCTCTTACCTCAGCCTCCTTACTACTGGAATTACAGACATGCACCACCAAATCTGAAAGCTCCAGAATTTTAGAGATATTACATGCATAAGTAAAAATTCAGAGAACTGCTTAACTTTCATAAACAATAACTCCTTTGAAATGTACTATACCTGAGAAAAGTCAATAGTGACTCTAAATTCTGCATTTGGAATATCTCCTTGCATTTTTCTCCTTTCCTTTCAGGGGCCTCTTAATATGCCTTTCCTCTACCTGCCAGTGATGGATAGTCTGAATTAGTTGGTTTCCATGCATTCATTCCAGAATTAGACATGTAGCCAGGTTATTCTGAATATCAATCAGTTCAAAGTTTTTTTTTTTTCATCCCAGGGTTCATGGAAGATTGATGTTGAGTGCTATAAAAAGTATGGAAGTATTTGGGGGTGAGTATACAAGAAAAACTGCAATGGGTAAACTTGTGATACTACTGATATGAGAACAATGTCAGCCACAAGCTCTGGGAATGCAGCTGTGTATTCTGAGGCATTTCGAAGCTTATGCTGCCAAGGATCCCAAAGCCAAGCAAATGTTAAGGTCTACAATATAATTAGATTGAGAACTCTGTCAGAACTACAGTCTCCTAGGTGACTGTACAGGAATTTTAGTCTCTACCTCATTCTTCTGCTGGTGAAGTAGAAATATAGCATATGGTTGAATCATTGCATTCCCTCACTTGCTTCCATCATGGTTTTGCAGGTAGGCCTGAGCCATGTGCCACCACTCTTCCCTTTCAGAGACACTGGAGGTCTAGAGAGTTATGGAAAGCATGTAATCACATACTTTGCTCTATGCATGTAGAAGAAAGTTTTACATCTTTTTACCTCTTCTTACTAGTTCTCAAAATCCTCAGGACTAGTCACAGGTTTCTACTGATTTCACACAGCCCATAATAACTTTGTGACACAAATAGCAAGCAAACACAAACTTAAATATCCACCAATACAACCTCCACTGCCCCATGCAACATTTAGTACTTATGATCACTTGATAGTTTGTTTTTAATTTTGTACCTACATGATAATGCTTCTGATATTAAGATAATTTATTTTAAATTTAATTTTTATTTTCTCAAAGTTGGAGATTGTAATATGAACCTTGCAAATACTATGTAATCATTGAATTACACTCAGAACCTTTACACTGAAATATTTAAAATATCAAAAACTTCATATTGGCAATAACTCCAATGGGACTTAACAGTAATTCCAAGGTTATTTAAATTATGAACTTTTTCAGAGTTATTTTGTATTTAATGTCTGTTTCTTATTGAAGCTCCTTACCCTTCATTCTGTGAAGAGTTCAGTGACCTCTGTGTTCAGAAATTCTAATGTAAACCTGGGGTTATCGCTGGTATGTATGGTTAATCAGGCATGTCCCTTGTACAGTGTCAAAGGATCAAAATCTGGAGATTCCTGGGTAGAGGGCCAGTTGTACAATCTGGCAGGTTGGGTTGAATCAGCTCTGTTTTCTTAATGCAGGTTATTTGAAGGTAGACAACCGGTTTTATTGATCATGGATCCAGACATAATCAAGACAGTGCTTGTCAAAGAATGCTATTCTACCTTTACAAACCGCCGGGTAGGCATTTGCATTATGAAAATGTAAACCTGTCTTATTTATTAAACTTTGAATCTGAAATAATCATATATTCATAATAAGTCTTGAAAATAATGAACAGGAAGTTTCAGTCGACATTTTATGCTGGATTTTCTCCCAATAGGATCTTGCACATAATTGTAACATTTTCCTTTCTCAATATGGTTAGAGGAGATTGACACAGATGAAACCCATAGAATGTATTAACATTTCCTCAGCTTAATCATGACATCACCTTATGTATATGTGTGTGTGTGTGAGACAGAGAGAGAAATAGAATGCGAAAGAGAAAGAGTAAGTCTATCACCATGTGTATCTCCATGCAAATTCATCACAGTGCATATTTATGTAACCAGGAGCACATGTAAATGACAGCCTTGTTCCTTCACCATAAGGTTCTTCCTGCTAGCCTTTTATACACACAAGATTAACTTGTCTTTCAAGTTAACACGGCAGTGAACAAAGAAAGGAACTTTAATTTTTAGGTGGCCAAATTTCTTTGTTTTTATTTTTATGCATTGTGTTTTGGTGTTAAGACTGACATTTATTTGAACAGTAGTGATATGGGACTTTTTTGGTATAAGTCATATATCTTTAGGCACTCTTCCCTCCATTGGATTCCTCTTGCACTAGTATCAAAAAATCAGTCCCTCTATAGTTTGAGTACCTGATTTATTATTTTTTAAATATCAAAGCATACAAAATTATTGGACTGATTTATTATTTTTTAAATATCAAAGCATACAAAATTATTGGTGAGATTTTGATAAAAATAGAATTAAGTTAATAGATAGATTTGAGTGCCAACTGTGTTAACCTCCTCTCTTCATGATATTGAAGCTCCCAGTTCATAAACACAGTATGCCTTCCAAGCTCTTTTATTCTTCTCATTAGCATATTGTAATTTTCAGCATATAAATAAATTTTATACAAGTTTTAGAATAATTTCCAAATATTTTGTTTTCCTTTTAGCATTTTAAAATGTATTGCATTTTCAATGGTTTTTACATGTTTTTGTTACATGCAAAAGTGGTGGGATTTTATAGTAATCTATTACCCTGCAATATTGCTAACTTGCCTTGCAAGACCTTTGGTACATGTTTGAAACCTTCTCTACTGATCATGGTATTATGTGAAAATAGAGCCATGTATATTTTCATATTTCTAATCTTTGTTGTTTGTATTTATTTTTATTGTTTTATTGCAATGGTTAGGACTTCTAGAATGACTCTGAAATACAATAAAGAGAATGGTAATTGTTTAATTGTTCATTATATTGGGGGAAACATTCATCCTTCTCTGTTAAGTGTGACACTGATATTTCATTTTTAATTTCATTTAATTGTTTTACCAAGTGGGAGGTCTCCTTCTTCCTAATTTTTTGAGGTTTTATCATAAATGAATGTTGAGAAAGTTCCTTGGAGATAAAGCATGGTTATGGATGATGGCAAAAAGTTGTAAACAGGGAAATACTATACAAGTATTTTTCTTTCGGTCTTTGCATAAGCATTAAGGGCCAAAATGTCCATTAACTGCACTATTTGTTTGGGTTGTCAAAAAATTCCTAATTCTTTATGTATGAGCTATAATTTAAAAATGAGAATTCACTCCCATTTTCTATCCTGCTGATGTTGTAGACAGATGTAAATTTAGGGCTGGTTTGAGCCATCATAAATTTTGCCCAGGTCACCTGCTGTCATCAGTCTACTCTAAAAATGGAAGGTCTTGAAGGATATAAGGGGACCTGTTGCTGTGTATTCTCCAGGAAATTTATTGTAAAAATATGAGTTTGTATACTTATAATTTTGCATAATTATATAAAAGTTGAACCAATACCAGATGACTGAGTGTCCCCAACACACTCAGAGAGCCTAGGTGTATATAGTAAATATTTATTGAGAATCTAGCATGGAGCCTGCCACTTGGGAGACAATTACTAAATATTTATTAAACAGGTGATTAATGCCCAATAAATTGTCTACAAATGTGAAAATTTTCTATACTTCTTTACAAAGAAATATCTTTTATTTTGGACCCTAGGAAATTCGTCCAGCAGTCCTGATGAAAAAATCAGTCCTCTTATCTCAGGATGAGCAGTGGAAGAGAATACGAACATTGCTGTCTCCCACTTTCACCAGTGGAAAACTGAAGGAAGTAAGCATACATGAGGATTTTTAATTGAAAATTTAAAGAATGAATCTACGGAAAAGTATAAAGATCCTAGTCTCTTTTCATGGGGTATCCCTCTGCAGATGAGTACTAAAAATGGCTTTTTTCCCTTTGAAGATCTTGCAGAAATTACACAGTTTCTTATAAAATCCTATGTATAGCTTCATCATTGGAAATGTTTTATATTATGGGGATTTCGGTGTGTGCATTCAGCTGCAGATGATGTTTCTTTTGCTTAGATGTTCCCTATTATTGAACACTATGGAGATATGTTGTTGAAAAACCTGACTCGAGCAGCAGAGAAAGATGTGCCAGTACCTATCAAAGAGTAAGTTGTATGGGACCCTCCAACTGACTCACTGGTAACTGATATCCTCACTGCTAGTTACACTGGGACCAAACAAATACGTGTGATGGTAGGAGTCTAATGGGCCTTCCAATAATGAGCAACTTTCAGTGGAAGTCAAGGTGCCTAGAAGAGGAAGTTTTAGCTTCACTGTGTAAAGGAGCAATGTTTATCTGAGCTAGGGTTTTTTGTCACCTTATGTATTCTAGACAGCAAAATACACATTTTTGGAAAAAGAAATGTAATCCCAACAAAGATATGAGTGTAAAGGGTGAGAAAAGTAAGTGAGGAAAGTACTTGGTATAGAGAGACAAGTAGCAGTTGTGGAAGGAAAGTCTGGACCAAATTAAACGTCTTCATGATTTTTCTAAAGATACTTGCAAAAACATTGAATATTATCCTTTGCCAATACTTCTTCCTCCAGTTGTTTAAGAGCAAATGCTCTGGAAACACTATGAGTACGCAAGCATAGAATTTATCGTGGGGACTTTTTGCCTTATGAGAGAACAGCAGGTGCAAGCTGCAACTGTTCTGACAATCTTAACTATTGGCATCACTTAACTATTGGTTTCTCCCAAATCAGTATTGGACTGATTTATTATTTTTTAAATGAAAGCTGTTGGGTTTCATATATTTACCAGAACAATTCTTCCCTTTGCAAAGCTTCATGTCCCTGGTGTTGCAAAAGGGCAAGAGTGTGAGGAACTTAACAAGAGGTTTGGAGGAGGAATGGCACTCCTGCAATCTCAGAACATGGTGCAGCTGTTGAGTGATATGCTGAAGAGGAATTCACTCATGGCACATATTGTGTGTCTAAGAGATCCATCAGTCTTTTTTGACTCCCTTTGGAAGAGTTGCTATTTTCCCCATATCCTGCTGAAACATGGTGCTCACACATCTATTCTTCACATTCCATACACATTGCTGATATTTTTCTGATTGTTGGTTCCTATATCCTATGACTTCCTTGCATGTAGATGTGGGTCTAACTCACCTTAGTGCTCTGAATACCTCAGCACAAAGACACTTGATAAGTTCCTGTGAATGAGTGTGGGTGTTGCAGAGAATAATCATATGATTCTGCAGATAATTCTGGTAATATGTAGCTCTCTAATTTTCTTGCCAGGTATGGTTTTATTCCCACATACTTCATCTCATGAGGGAGAAGGAGAACAAACTCGTACAGATATTGATTTTTTATGTTTTTATCTCCTCAGCATCTTTGGGGCCTACAGCATGGATGTCATTATTGGCACATCATTTGGAGTAAATGTAGATTCCCTCAGCAACCCACAAGATCCCTTTGTGAAAAAAACCAAGAAGTTCTTAAATTTTGATAATTTCAATCCCTTGATTTTTTCAGGGTGTAAGTAAATTGTTTATTCCTTCTTTCTTCTTTTGAAAGGATTGTATTTATTTAGGCATAAGATACATGGCATGTAAGTAACACCTGGATTTAATGTTTCGGTGTATATGTCAGGATTAGCATTGCTGAAGTATCAGATAATTCCATCTGTTAAGCAACAGAGAAAACATTTTCTACAGCACTTTTTTTCAACCAGGAATGTATAAGTTCACATTTAACACTTGGGCTGCCCATGAATTGATTGCAATCATGGTAGTGTGTGTGAAGTGACATACCACTGAGGTTTTGATTTGTATTTCCCAGATGTTGACGATGAGTGATTGCATTTTCTTTGGATAAATGTCTGCCAAATTCTTTGCTAAGTGAATTTTTGTACTTTAAGCATTGAATTTCAAGTGTTCACTATATATTCTGGTCATATTTTGTTATCAGATATATTACTTGCTATATTTTTCTTCCATCTGTAAATTTCTTCTTGTATTAGTGCATTTTCTTTTTTTTTCTTTTTTTTTTTCTTTTTTATTGAGGGGGTGGGTACTGGGAATCCAACTTGTGACCTTGCGCTTGCTAGGCAGGCACTTATGGCACTGAGCTAAATCCCCAGCCCCCTGTATTAGTAAATTTTCATGACACATAATATTTAGTTTTCTTTTGGGGGACTGATGCATGTGCATAATGTCTTTTTTCATATTACCATAAAATGATTTTTTATTAGTATGATGATTATTGATATACTTTTAACAATAAATTTTTCCACTTTCTGATGTCCTCTTGCACTTTCTGATTTCCATTTTCAGAGTATTATACTTTTTGTTGTAGAGCTCTGTCATTTTCTTAGTTAGGTACTCCCTGTGTATTTAATTTTTCTGGATGCTATTGTGAATGGCTTTTTTCCCTAATATCTTTCTCAGTGGTTTCTTAATATTGCTATTGATTTTGTGTGTGTTCATTTTGTATCCTGCTGTTACTAGGTTTGTGTATTAATTCTAAGAGTCTTTTGGTAGATCTTTAGGTCTTCTATATATAGGATCATGTCAGCTACAAATAATGAAAATTTGATTTGTTCCTATACTATACACACCCTTTTTTCTTTTACTTGCCTGACTGCTCTTCCTAACTTTTGAGTGAGATATTTAGCAAGAGCTGTGACAGGAGACATCCTTGTCTTGTTTCTGACTTTTAATGATATTTTGCATTCTGTTTGCTAGTATCTTGTTGGGAACATTTGCATTCATATTCATTAAAAAGATTGGTCTAGGGGTCTCTTTCTTATATAGATCCTTGTGTGCCTTTGGAATTAGAATAATTACAGACCCCAGAAATGCTTATTGGGACAATCCCACAAATTTACCCATAAATTTCTTTTAAAACCATGAGAAGTATTGGTGTTAGAACTTCTCAAAAGTTTTTGTACAATTCAGCAGTGAACGTATCCAGACTTAATCTTTCTTTGTTTGTTAGTAGGCTTTGTATTACTCATTCTAATTCAATGAGTTTTACTGGATTATTCAGTAAATTTGTATATTCTTGGATCAGTGTTTTAATTTACATTAATCTAGGAATCCATCCATTCTTTCATGAAATTTCCAATTTATTGTTGTAGGTTTGCAACATACTTGTTAATAACCTTTTATATTTCATCGGTGTCCATTTTCATTTCACTTTTTTCATTTCTAATTCCATTGATTTGAGTTTTTCTCCCTTGTTTTATGTTACATTTATTAATGGTTTGTTTATTTTGTTCATTTTTTTTTTGTCTTTTTCCTTTTTATCGATACCGGGGATCGAACTCACGACTGCCTACTTCCAAGGCAGGCGCTTATGCCGCTGAGCTAAACCTCCAGCCCCATATTTTGTTCATTCTTTCAAGGAACAAACCTTTAAAAAAATTTTATTTTAAAGAGTATAAAACAATACAGAGCAAAACAAAATAAAACTGAACAAAGCAGAGGAGAGCTGAGTAAAACAATGCAAATAACACGGGATTTGAGAAAAAGACAGCAGGAAATCAACAATGGCTACCATAATGTCTCTTGTTTTCTTCAAAATAGTTGTCCATACCTTCACACAAAATAAGTTAGTACAAATCAAAATAATATAAAAGCAGTCAAAAGACAAGAATGAGAGCCTTAAGTGCTTCCAAGACCAGAAACTAGGAAATCACTAAAGGCTACCATAATGTCTCTTGTTTTCTTCAAAATAATTGCCCATATCTTCATACGTATTGAAATCAAATAATTCAAAACAGACTAAAATAAATCAAAACCAAGAGTAAAAGTATTACTGAACTTTGAATCAAAATGATAGGAAATCATCAGTGGCTACCATAGGGTCGCATTTTCTTCAGTGTAGTTGTTCATATAATCACACATAATAAAATCAATTCTTGTAAACCCTTTAGGTGAAGTTCAAGGCATATATCAGCCTATGCATGTACACCTATCTTTTCTGTATTAGATAGAAAAACAAAACAACAAATAAATAACTGTAACTAAGAGCCCAAAACATTAACAGTGTAGGCTTTCAAAACAAGGTAGTAGGAACAAAACATATTTTGTTGTTTTGCATATTTATCTTCAAAAACCTTACTCAAATTACCAGATAAAGTCATGCAAAATTGATCAAATCCTACGGATGTTAACTTTTTTGTTTCAAGAACTAATAGAATTAGTAGAACATTCATCTTAGTAATCTTAACTGTATATACACAAATTAATCTTACTTCTTTACTCTTCCCTCATTTTTCCTTTTTTCTGCTTGAGTTAAATTTTCTTTTTTATTTAAAAAGAAAAAGAGAAAAAACAAAACAAAACAGTGTAAGAGTACAAATAATACAGAACTACAAAAAACAGTAAGAAATCAGGAGTTAATAGATTACATATTATCATCTTAGAGATAGTTGTTCAAGTCACAGGATCAAAGCATAAAAAGTAGACATTCAAACAGTGAGACTGCAAACAGTTGTGCTCAATGATCCAATCAAAAACATTAATATGGTCTTCTATTTAACACACCTAATCACACTTGAAGTCGTATCCTTTAGAGCACTTTTTTTCCTCTCTTTATTACAACAAAATTTACACATTTTGGGTTTTATTACTCCCATAGTTCTTACTACTATTTTTTGGAAGAGAATAAAATCAAATATGACAAAACAAAACCGTCAGTCAAAACCAAAGATAGACATAGCACATGATGTAAAAACAGAGTACAAGGTTATCAACAATGGTTACCATAATGCCTCTTGCTTCCTTAAGAATTGTCTATTTCATTAGGTATTATAAAGTTGAACGAAACAGTAGAGAACAAGACCTATAAAACCTAAACATTGTAAATATTACAGGACTTCAAAAGAGGATACTAATCAAACCAGAATGGGCATCATAGTGAACCTTACTGCCTTCAAAGTAGTTGCCTATACCCTCAAACTTAATACTATCATACAGAATGGAACAGAGTCTAATCAGTCAAAACAAGATAGTGGAAGAATTACAGGACTTCAGATCAAGTTAATAGGAAATCAAAAAGTTACTATAATATATCCTGCTATTTTTTAATTTTTCCCCTTAATTAAAAAAGTAATAAAATAAATAAATAGTTTTTTAATGAATAAGAGAGATTGAGATAGAAGAGGACATAACAACATAACAATATAGGTCAAAGCATGACAGTTTCAGCAACCTAGTGCTTCACCACCAAATAACCCGACTTAATAGTAGTTGCCATAGTATATTTTTCCTTGAAATATTTGAATATAGCTTTGTATAGTATAGCATCAAACATATCAAGACAGTGTCAAACCATTCAAGTGGAAGAAAGCATTGTAGGGTATTTAGAACCAGTTAACAGAAAACGAACAATGGTTTCTATATTATCTCTTTGCCTATAACAATTTTTGTTTATACTATCATGTATAATAAAATCCTGCAAGATACAACATGATAAAACCAGTGGAGACAAAAGAGCCATACTTTGGTGGGGCTTCAAAACAAAATGGTATTAAATCAGGACTAGCTATTATGATGTCTTGTTTTCTTCAAAATAGCTGTTCATTTCATCACAGACAATAATATCAAGCAGCCCAGAATACAGCCATTCCAATTAATAAGTGAAAACTTGATAAGGCTTCAAGGCCACATAATGGGGAATCATGATTACCACATACTTTTAAATATTTGAATCATTTCCTACACTAGGGAAATTATTCAGTATTCACACGTGTGAGTTTGATTTATTTCACTTATGAGTATGGTTTCAAGCTGCGCCCATTTATTGATAAATATCTCAATGTGATCCTTCTTTATAGCTGAGTAGTACTCCATTGTATAGAAATACCATAACTTTTGTATCCATTCCTCAGTTGATGGACACTTGGGTTGTTTCCAAGATGTGGTGATTACAAATTGTGCTCTTATAATCATAGGTGTGCATATATCACTGTGATATGATGCTTTCACTTCTGGGAATATGTCTAGAAGTGGAATAGCTGGAACAAATGGGACTTCCAATCCCAGGTTTTTGAGAAATCAACAGATTGACCTCGACAAAGGCTGGACCAGTCTACTCTCCCACCAACAGTGCAGGAGATTTCCTTTTTCCCACAGCCTCTCCAGCATTTGTTGTTGTTGGTTTTCTTCATCCTGGCCATTCTTTTAGGAATGAGATGGAATCTCAGCATATTAATTTGCATTTCCCTAATGACCAATGATGATGAACATTTTTTCAGGAATTTATTTGCTATTTGTATTTCTTGATCTGAGAAGTGTGTATTCATCTCAGATGCCCATTTTTGGATTGGATCTTTGAATTTTGGGGGTCTGAGTTTTTTAATTCTTTATATGTTTTAGACAAAAGTCCCTTGTCTGAGGGGGAGTTCACTGAGATCTTTTCCCAGTTTGTGGGTTTTCTTTGCACTATGCTGGTGATTTTTTTGGACATGCAGAAACTTTTTAATAAGAGCTGGTCCCAGTTATTCATTCTGGGAAGTATTTCCCATGCGG